GTAAAAGGGTTTTTAGTGCACGTATCAAATCCAACGTTATATTCTTACCGTCAACAATACAGGGCTGGTGACAGACGATGATGGCCCGATGAAGTCCATTTTCCACTACAAACCTGGTGAAAGCTCCAGCAACTTTACGTCTGCGGGTTTCATTCCGAAATTCACTGACGAAGTGACCTTCAGTGACCCCGATCTCGAGGAGCATGCGCGTGACGTCTGTGGTAACGACACGTCTTGTCTGTTTGACGTCGCCGAGACAGGAGACATCGAGGTCGGGAGGGTGGAGACGGAGGATGAGCAGAACTTCGAAGACGAAATGTTCATTCAAAGTAAGGCCTTACTACTATTTTGCAACCATGTCTCACAATGTTTGGGAAAGAGTAGCTAGTATTGCAAAGATTATAATGTAAGTGCACGGTTCTTGTATAGATCAGGTGATGATTAGCATGATTGATGAGAAAATTCTATAAATCTACTCCATTCTATGAATGGACGCTCAAATATGTGACATCTGTAACTAATTGAGAGAAGGCACATTGATAGATATGTAAATAAATTTCTCATTGATAGTATTGATGGGGAAACACTTATTTGCGCAATCAATGAGAAAGCTTTCTAACACCTCAGACGTAAAGGTTAGCATGAAAGATCAATATCATTTAGCAAATGAGGTCGTGGAACTCTAGTTTGTTGTTTATATTTTAGACACGTTCCCACCCGTACTTACTGGACCGGAGGCTGTATACGCTAAGCTGGGGGATGTTGTGGAGATACGAATTAACGCCACGGATCCTGCTGGCCTCGACATGACGTTCGACACTGGTGATGAGATGCCACCGGAAATCTCCGTCCTTATCAACGGAACTGACGTCACTCTTCTGTGGAATGTAACTTGCGACGATTTCTTCAACCTGCAGGTATGTAGGGTGTGTCATGAAGTGCATCTTTGGTCATTTGTATTTCCATATAAATGTGTTTTCAGAAGTTTAATTTGCATAAGTCTTGTAAAACCAAGGCTTGACTAATAACGTTGATATGTCCCGACAGCTCATCTCAACCAACACGAAAAACAGTTCTGCAGAATACTGGCCTGTTGTCTACATGTGCTCCTGTAGGAACAACGGATCCTGCGACACGACCAGCGCCATAGATCCGGCACTCGTCAGCGACGATGAAAGGTAATTCTTTTTGACATTGAACTATAAAATAAGATACAGTTTTGCCCAGAGTTTCCGAAAAAAATATCTGAATGAGTGAAAATGAACCGGATGAAATGGTGGTAATGGCACACAATTGATACCCCACGTTATTTCCAGAGTTGTTTTGTTGCATAACATTGCCTCATATCTTGTCAATAATACACAAGAAATCTAAGAATTGATGATGATGAATGGTTTATTAAAGTTTCAAACTTTCGGGAAGTACATTATAGTTTCGGTGGGAGGGGTTGTATATTGTATAATGTGATTTAACCGAGTATCACACCACTTTATGAATTCCTCTGTGCACCTTAGGTCACCTTTTCTATCAATCATCTGTCAAAATCGCTTCCCACCCACAATACAATGGAAGCAACAGGACATGTCGACAGAGAGAGGGCTGAGCCAAATAATGCTTCCGTACCCGGAATGCCCTTTTCTTGACTACCGACCTCTGATTTGTTTTCGTTCCTGTAGGTTTGTGAGACTAGATTGCGTCTGTCAGGATGGCTTCTCTGGTGAGCAGTGCGAAACTGATCTTGACGCCTGCGCAGTGAACTTCAACCCTTGCTTCCCTGGGGTGAACTGCACGGACCTCCCCCCACCGGCAGGTGTAGACGGTTTCGAATGTGGAGACTGCCCGCCTGGGTATGAAGGCAACGGAACAATTTGCCAAGGTACTATATCAAAATAAAACTCCTTCAGTAACTGTGTAGATTTATCCTTGGTTATCATTAGATTACGTGTATATTATCACTAGTAATTTATATGTGAACATTTAACATTTTTTATTCCTCATCTTGGTGATTGTTTGTTTCATTGATATTCTACATTATACAGATGTAGATGAGTGTGAGACTAACCGGTGCCAGCATGTCTGTACCAACCTCATCGGCAACTTCACCTGTGACTGTTATGCTGGGTACCATATTGCGGACAACGGCTTTGAATGTTACGGTAGGTTAACTTTGCCTGTTTTCTGAGCGCATTACCCTCTGATAGCATGCAATAAAACATGGGAGGACACCGGGTATCTGAAACATCATAAAATCTGACAAAAGTTAGAGGCATTATTTGTGTTGTCTTTGTTGTTTGTTTGCTTTATTGTTTTTTGCATTGTTAGCTTTGTACTCTGATTCTTATGCCTTGATGTCCAGACATCAACGAATGTTCGCTGCCTAATAACTGCAGTCAGCGCTGTGACAACACGGACGGGTCCTACAAATGTTCCTGTTGGGACGGATTCAGCTTAGAACCAGACGGGCAATCCTGTCAACGTACGTTCAGTTTACCTCGGAGTTACACTTATGAATTCATACTTTGAATTTGTGTGTGATGATAAGGTACTAGTATTATTATGAGTATGACAATTTAGGTTAAGACCGCAATAGTAGTAATTGATGACAGACACGCAGTACCTCTTCTAATTTTGTACACGATCACCTATTGTTGATATACCTGCGGCTGATAACAACATAAAAAGGACTTTTTGTTTGTCATTTTTCAGCGGAGAATCCCTGTGAGACAGGGGACGACCCTAGTTGTGACCCTGACACTGGCTGGTGTACCGTCAACGCGACTGTTGGGGCGCTGTGCGTGTGTGAGAAGGGGTACAAGCTGGCACACGACGGAGTAACATGTCAAGGTTAGGCATTTACTGCTGCTGCTTACGGGTTGATAAAACACACACAGACATACTGGAAGGGATGGGTTCAGTAAGCAGATGAAACTAGTAATGTTTATAAGAAATCTCCTTTCTTCCTCTTACTATACGGTCATAAAGTATTAGTATGTTGCAATTCCTGAATTATTTCCTTGTCAATCTATCTATTGACAATATCTGCCGTGTATCTACCTCGTTACACTGCAATGACAATCATTTAATCGACTGTGAATTTTCAGATGAGGATGAATGTGAAACCGGGAAGAACCACTGTAATCAACTCTGCAACAACACTGCTGGCGCCTACACCTGTTACTGTGGGGAAGGCTATGAGCTCACAGACGATCCTGTGCAGCCGTGCAGAGGTGCGCTACTCGATACAATCAGCTAAAAATTTGTTTTTTACATTCGCCTAGAAGGTTGTGTTTTTGGTAGAGCTTGCTTCTTTGGTTAGATGTTTGTTTGCAATCGGGTTTATGTATGGAACTTTTTTTGTTATCCTATCACATACATCTACAAATGACATGGTGATATTATACCTTATATGAAACTACATACTAAAATTGATTCCTTGTTGCCCGAATGTAACAAGTTTTATTTGTATCTAAGATATCGACGAATGTTATGAAGGTACAGACAACTGTTCTGTGAGCGAAATCTGCGTCAACATACATGGGGCATATTACTGCGCTTGCGCCCCGGAAACCGCCCTTCGTAATGGCATTTGCGTTCCAGGTAGGCCTCTGCTTGAATAGTTTCTTTTCAAACCCGCCATTTTTATGTTTGATAAAAAAGACTCATTCCGATTTGAAGTTGTAGCGATTTCTTGGATATTCCTATTTCTATAACATTTTCTTTTCTAATCGCCTTCGAACAGATACCCATATTTACTCAAGTTAATGTGTCTAGATTTTTCCACTCAGATAATTTATATACTCATCGGTATCGTAGCAAAAGTTTCGAATTGCCGAAGGGGGACTAACTTTTGGGTTATCTTATTACATGCAGAGATACCTGAAATGACAACAAAACCAACAACTGTGGAGGATAACACTGTGATGATGGAGGTCGAGATGAATATGGAGGAGGTAATGTCAAGAACACTACATGTAGTTTCCATAAATTAGATGTAAGCAAGCTAACAAACATTTATCACACCGCAGCCGTCCCTCAGTAAGACACCTGGAGCCACATAGTTGCCGTTTAGAAATTTTATTTAGTCTGTCACTGACATGTCCTTCACATTCCTTGGTGGTAGCTTTATGATTAATGGGATATAGTAATAGACGAAATTATCCAAAACTATATTACATGTAATTATAATATAGATATGATTTTGTTTTAGTTCACAGATGCCTTCCAACAAAACCTGGTGGGGACAGTTGCGGCAGGACTGACGTCATTTTGCGCACGAAACATGAAGGAGTATCGTGAATGCTCAGACGACAGGTCTATAAGGTGTGGACAAACCATTGCTACCTTTCACTTCACATCATCAGACGTCCATACCCCTCAGCGATTCCCATATGCTCTGCACGGTGACCAAGTTGTCATTGGTTTCTACGTCATTAAGCCTGGGGAAAATAGTGCCACGAACCAGCTCTTCCCAGGCGAAGTCCTGCTCACAGCAATGGAACAAATGAAAATGGATATTGAAGAATCTTTCGGGTATAAGCATGTAATGGTCATGGCACTTGCCTCATCGTTCAACCCGAGTGTTCGCACAGTGCGACCGATGACAACCAAATCGAGCCCAGTCGCCATTTCAAAACAGGAAACTGACATCACAACCATCGCCATCAGCGCCCTCACAACCACGGCCATCCTGAGTGTTATGGCCTTGATATACTTGCGTCTTAGGTAGGGAGGCTATTATCATTCCTTGGACATAACATTGAGTTCCCGAACGAATATATGCTCGAGTTATACTGTGCTTATACCTTGTACTAATGAATATATGCTCGAGTTTTACGGTACTTATACCTTTGCAATCCACAAGATGCTTAAAGGTGTCCTTTTTAAAAACGTATTTTATCTCCAACATGCAGGGCCCAAGTGAAGGTTGTGGACCTGCCAGACGACAATCTTGGATCCAAAGATGCTCCAGTCATCGAGCAGTTCGCCATGTCAGAGTCAACTCGGCAGCTGGTGGAGAAGTGAAGGGCTCCGTTCTACATAATCAGGTCATGGGAAACTATTTCAAGACAGTGATCAGACCAATGGGAGACAATCACATAACTTGTGGTTTACACTTTATCAACCAACAAAGCTACTCAACGGAGTTGAAAGTACTAGTATACGTAACGTCCATTTATTCCCCGGTTACTTGAAAAGAAGTTACAGAGATCTATTGATCCAACATCAATATTTCCAGAGGTATACACCTATGAGTTAACGTTACATATTATATCAAACATGCGATGTGATGTGATAGTTTGATGTGATGAAATGCCTTTTAAAGAATGACATGAGTGTGGTGCAGTGATATATAACATAGCAGTGTGATTCATTTGAAAGTACATGTAACATAATGCCATAGTTTCAAGCGATCTATTCTGATTTGTCTTTCTTAGAGTGTGGGACACGGAAATATTACACGCTTACGAAAATCTATCATTTACCACATTGTATTAAAATATCTGCACTCTAATATGATAACAGTGCCTGGTATTTTGCTTTTTATCCGTATTACACTCACGTGTATAAAATATATATATTCATCTTGCTTGAACAAGGTGTCATACTCGTAAAACTCGTCCATTCTGTACACATGTCTGTGAAAAAGAATGTCGCTTCTTTGCGATATAGTGATATACTAGCAGTGATCAACGCTCAAAAAAATCAACTAAATCTCGTTCAAATAGGTGAATCCATTACATAAGGTGTAGATCGTAGAAATTATAGCATAATCGGTAGTTAACCCCCATATACATTGTTGAGTGCGTCGTCATCTTGTCTGCATTAAATTTTGTTTCTATTTCCGTTTTGATATAAAATATCCTAACGTAGCTATTGTTTATCTGCATTCATTTGTCATCATTCTTATTGACGAATCTCCAAAAGCTAGCAAACTTCAGGGTCTATCTAGAAGTAGGTGTCGCAATCCCTGTACGTGCTGGTTTTTGGTGGTCCACTTGGTGGTTGTAGGAAAGCAAAGTTGTCTTGCCCCGTAACTGCAAAGCAAGACGGAAAAGTACTTATCATTCGGTGATTTTCATTATAATTGAAATACTGTACAGGTAGGTCCTTACTGTGAATATGAGCAGCATTAGGTTCGTAATTCTAAGTAAAGTAGTATTAAAGTCTCACATTCCACATCTTTCGAGCGTTTATTACGCTTGTTTCGACGAAGGCACACGACGGTGGTTATGATGACCAGGACCAGAGCCGCTGCAGCTGCGGTACCTGCAGCTGCCGGAATCCAGTCATCCGAGACACCTGCAACAACAAACAACCACATGATTACAGGGGATCTCCTCTCGGAAAAATGGTTTGTGCTTATATTATAAGTCCATTTAGTAATACTTGTTGCAGAACAAGTTGATATCTCGAAGGTAAACTTGATAAACAGCATATATATGTTCTTACAGTGTTGATGTGTTTGAAATGTCAAATGTTCGCAGTCAGTGGAACTTCTGAGACATAACCCCGTGCATTGTACAAGAAGCTTACAGAACATCCTATTATGATTAGTGAGTCTATGATGCGGGTTTGCAAAGTAGTACGGACGAAATTCTTGGAGAATGGGTAGAAAGTCTCACATGAGCGTCAGTCAGGAGTCAATTGTTCTGTGTGGAATGGAATACGTCGGCTTCGAGACTATGATTTGACGATTTTCCAATATACATACGCCATATGATCCCATATTATTACGCAACTGGCTTTCGTGGTAAGTCGGCTGTTGTTCATTTGACATCCGCAGTGTGCCATTCTAAGAGGGCTCAGAAATCCCCATAGGGCAAATTAAACTGTGTCATGCTACCATAAAGACACTGCTTGCTTTTAATACCTTGCCATTCGCAGACCCTCCCCGGACGTGTGTCTTGATCCGGGGACTTGTCCTGGTATCCCATGGTGCACCTGCATGAGAAGGAGCCCTCCATGTTGAGACAGGTGGCATGGGCGGAGCAGTCCGCGCTGTCCGGGTCCGAGCACTCGTCATAGTCTGGTTTGAGAGAAAATAGTGTCCCATGAAACATAATTGCCTGCGTAATTTAGTAAGTAATATTGACAAGCGTAAAAGGAAAGATGAATCAGGATAGACAAAGTTAATGACGGAGCTCAGCTCTCTTCTTCACCCGCCTTTCACCTCCCCAACCGAAGTCGCCTTCTCCAAGGACACAACGTGTAGCCAGGAATGCCAGGGATGGAACCCTTGCTCTCTCCATCTCGTGCACGCTACCCTAGCCACTCGATCGCCATTTCAACGAAACGAGAAACATAATCGCACTATATATTACCATTCTTCGGGACACATGTATACATTTATAATATACTATTTACCTATTATTGAAACGTCATTCACGTCGATTTGAAGAGCTGTTCCGTTGGCTTTCTTCACAAGGACCTTGAACTCCTCTAACACTGTGGGAAGAGAGACGTCTGCAGAACCCCGGATGTAAATCACGTGATCCACGAGAACACTACCCTGTCGGAAGCCGACGACGGCGATCCCGAGAAAGTCTCCGGCCAGGCTCGTTTGACGGTACAGAGGTTCCAACTAAGGGAGTAAAATGACACTGTGTGTAAGATAGATAATGAAATTTTGTGTCTCCTCATTACAGGAGGCTACACATCTCATATGCATATGCGTACATGTATATAAATTGTTCATATGGAACAGACAATGACAACGACAGAAAGTGGATACATACCGTCCAAACGAACTCCTCTACCAGATCCACGAACTCTTCGCTCTCCGGATCTTCCAGCGCCGAGGAGAAACTCTTGGCCATTATACGGGAGGTGGAACTGTACGCCACGGCAGCTGGAAATAACATTGAAATGGTTATCGACGCTTTAGACGATTTATATATTTGGCAGATCATTAGCCCCTGGTCTGATTAACATAATACTGCCTATCGTCACGGATAATCCATCAACGAAACGGAAAAAGAGGAAACGGAGCAAAAACAATGTTTCCTTCTGCGAAGGTAAACATTAGATCCATTGCCTTACCCTCACAGACCCCATCCACCTCCAGGAAGCCGGGCACACACTCACACACATGACGTCCTGGTGTGTTCACACAGCGCCGGTTGTCCCCACATGACACTATGGTGCACTCGTCAAAATCTGTAACAGTTCATTTCAGTCACCGTATATTCCATATCATTGGTTCTATTCTCAACAAAGAGGGTAGCCAATCAAAAGGTAGAACAGTGTGCCTCAATTTGCCTCAACTTTCTATAACGAGGCCAGAAGTCGGTATACTCTAGGCGAGCACATGTCAATGTATTGTCAGTTTCACAATAGATTGCATACTATTCAGGCTCCACAGATGTGAAAACGTTATACCGACACGCCCGAGAACAAGTCAGTACTTACCCTGACAGTAGACGCCATCTCCGACCCACCCCGGGTCGCACACACATTCTTGGGTCAGAGGGCTACACGATGCATGCTCGTGGCAGGTGGCATCACATGCTAAAACGGACAAAAACGGTAACCAAAATTCGACATCTCCAATATTACTTGAGGCAATGTACAGGGTCCTACTTCAACCATAATAGGATTAGACATTTGACAGTGCAAATAAATTAAAAACAACTGTCTACATGAATATTGAAAGGGGTGACGAAAACAAACAACTTTTGAACTTACGATAAGGCACAGTGCACATTAATAAAATCTTTAAACTGCATATTCTCTCACCGGTAAAAGTCTCTTGAACAACCAGCACGATAGGACCCTGCACCAAGGTAACGCGCTCTTCCAGACCGTTGTCTGCGGCACGTCTGCGCCTGCGCGAGCTGCTGCAGCCTTGGTCACATCGCGAACCAGGGTTGTCCTCCAAACACACCATGACGTCACAGTGGAGGTACACATACGGCTAAACAAGATGTTTGTTGTCAACAGTTATCGATACAATAATGGTATAAGTGCGCTGAATACAACAGGAACGATATGAAATTTACATTACGTGTCTGACGGATTACGATTTTTAAAAATTCTATGATTTACGAATGAAGACCAACTGAAGAATCGAGTGTATATTGGTGAAACTTTACTCATTGATATATTTATTAATTTCTAGATGTATCACCATAACATGGAATAGTTAAAAGTTATGAAGGTCTGAACATAATAGATGAAAAGGTTGCACTCTATTGAACATTAAAGCTCTACCTGTGATTCGTTGGCGAACTGGAAGGCGGAAATTCCATAATTCAGAGAAGTCGGTGAGTCCGTTGAAAACACTTGAAGGGTGTCGTCTTTCTGGCATCTGGAAGGCAGCAATCAACAAACACGATTAGATCACGACAGTAAGGCCTACGTCGACTAGATGTGTTTTCTTTAAAGATTTCAGAAATAGTGTTTATTTGATACCTCTTACGTCACCGTTTGTTTTATTTATTTGCACAGATAAATAGGTATGCCAGAATTCAGATATAATTCCATGCTATCAAACAATGGAATCAATCACATGGAAAACATATCCCTACCCGTCCTGTATGAAGTAGTACTGTGTCGAGTCGTCAGGGTTGGATGACGGCGTCGCTTTGCAGTTCTCAACAAACAGGACCAGGCCGGAGACGGAGGTGTCCACTGACACGCCGAAGTACACATCTTCATTTATCGTTACCTTTAATTGCAGAAGAAAACACGTCTTATAAAGCATGCTTAATGTGGTTTTCTACAATATCGGATGGGACTTTTTCTACCAAAGCATCTAAAATGTGATAAATTATCCTGAGTGTCTATTCACTATTATGATAGCCAGTCTCCTGGCTTAGAGATAAAAGGCCACAATCTCACTGACGATGAGAGACAGTATAAAACATATTATAAAGAACCTCTTCTCCAACACATAACTATCATAACCATTCTTTTTAAAAACGTGTTGGAATCAATAAATCCTATAAAGTCAGTCCAATGTTCCTACCTCCACGGGAAAGTCTGTGCTTGTGTACGGCTGTGTGAACCCAGCGGACGGATACAGTTTCATACTGAAGGTGAAGGAGCCGTCTCCATACAGGATAACCACGCTATGGGGAAGGGATGAATGATAAAACTTATCTATTTGTTTGCTACTTCTTCCTCAGTAGATAAGTACAAGTAATATAAGTCAATTCTACATACAGTCATAGAATTGTAACAAAGTGAAGGGTCTAGGAGAGTAGTGTTAAGTAAGGTAAGTTCTGGCCAGGATTGCTTGTGAAAATGACGAACATTTTGTCCTTATGATAGTAATGACTATTGACATATTTTTTAGGACAGACTTGATGGAACAGTAAGGGCCAAACTAAGAAGAATGTAGTCCTCATTGTGTCTATAGTTTCACCATCTCACCTCATCAGTACCTTATCTGCCATGTTTATGGAGTGTCTATAGTTTATGGGGGAACAAATTTAAAGTGTTACCTGGGTGCCGGTACAGGAAACAGGGTGTCGGCTGCTATGGTGTCATCTCGGACATATCTGCAGCTGATCGTCCAGCGATCCTCCTCAGGCCTCGCGATGACGTCATTGGCAGCACCGTCCGTCGTACTTTGTTCCAGCGGCGCAACGATCTCATTGGTGTAGACGATCTTGTTGGACGTGTCGTTTTCCTACAAATTGATATCATGAATCATCAAGCGTGCACAGACTTCAAACATTTGATATTTGGGGAGAGAAGATCATACAATTTATGCAAATGATGACCTTATTAGCATAATCAATGAGAAACATTTATGATAGTCATCCTTAAAGATTAGTATCATTTGGCAAATGTATGAGATCGTGGAACTCGTGGTCCAATGTGATTTGAAGCTAGATCAACCTATAGAGTAAGACTCACCAGTGATGTTGTTCCACAGTCGCCAAGAGCAGAGACGAAAGTCACGTGGGTTCCATTGACTTCCGCAGTGCATGATGGGTCACGCAGTCGCATACCGGAAACGTCATATCCGTCCAGCTCGTCAAGGAGAAAGGTGACCCACATGGTGGTGGAGTTACAGTACACGTCACCCTGGACTGGATCTTCTGCTGTTTCCGGGGAAGTGGTCGTTACCTCTTCTGGGGTGATTGTAGTATCCTGTAGCTCAGTTGTTTCGTACACGGCTGATGACGTTTCGATCTCTGCGTCAGTTGTTTGGAACACCATTTCTGTGCTGTAGACGTTGGTCGAGGTTGATTGTCCCTCCGTCGTTGCGGATTGTGCGATGGTTGGAAATGCAGAAGTCACTTCGGGTGTTGTAAGATCTTGTACGGAGGTTATCAGTGCTGTTGTGACGAGTGGCGTTGTGTCGAGTGGCGTTGTTACCGGTGAGGCTGTTGTGTCGAATGGCGTTGTTACCGGTGAGGCTGTTGTGTCGAGTGACGTTGTTACTGGTGAGGCTGTTGTGTCGAGTGGTGTTGTTACCATAGAGGCTGTTGAGTCGAGTGGCGTTGTTACCGGTGAGGCTGTTGTGTCGAGTGGCGTTGTTACTGGTGAAGCTGTTGTGTCGAGTGACGTTGTTACCGGTGAGGCTGTTGTGTCGAGTGGCGTTGTTACCGGTGAGGCTGTTGTGTCGAGTGG